TACTTTAGGAGCTCTCTGATAACTCTCTAATGAAAACGCTCGTCCATGTTCGGTAAGTCGATATTTATGGGTTTAGGTTGATTCCTATCAAGATAGAAAATGAAATAGTTAGATGTCGACGTTGGTTGAAATTATTTCTAAATATTTGACGTTATCATCAATGATACAACCAAACTCCTAAATACATGATAATTATTTATTATTAAAAGAGACGACACTGAATTTGATATTTCATCTTTTTCTAATGCCATACATACATACATACATACATACATACATGTACACACACACACACACACACACACACACATATATATATACATATATCTCTATTATTTATATATTTATATAATTATATATTTATTCTTTTTTATCAAATAAATTTTTGTATGAAAATTATCTTTTTGAATTTACTAACGACTGAGCAATTTTTTTTTTTTAATCATCAAAAAATTATATTAAATTTTATTACTTATCGAACAAAGCAATATAATAAATTCAATCGATAATAAATATATATATTACATATATGTTTGTATATAAGTAGAGTATGTATGTAATCAGTAAATAAATTATAGTAATTAAAAAAAAAAAAAAAAGAAATGTAGCTTTATACGAGAAACAAATATTAATTCTATTATATCACTGATTAATCGCTTTTCACACGGTCAATATAATACTCCTAATACTTCGGATATTTCGAACTCTTAATAGTTAATTTCATTCGCTTATAAAACAGGTAAACAAATTTTAACGAACAGAAATATCCCCTTTCATATCATTGCAATGCGTTTCTTTCTTTTCCTTTTGTTTTTTCTTCTCTCGGCATTTTTTATTCTAACGATACGACGGCTCTGATATTAATCCATTGTTTCGATTGTAATCGTACAATCTGAGAAAAGATAAGAAAAAAAAAAAAACTATATATATATATATATAAACATAATTAATTGACATCATTGTTATAAATTATGTATATGGTAAATTAATGAGAATAAAAGAAAAAAAAAAGAAAAGAAAAATATAATGAAAAACAATTAAGTACAATGAAATTAATACAAATTTCATAATAATAAATTAATAAAAGTAAAATAAATAAAGAAAATTTTTGTAACAAAATGTTGATTAAATTAATGAAGAAACGTATATGCATGTGTGTGTGTGTGTGTGTGCGTGTAAAGAAATATTAGAAAAAATATATATGTATATATATATATATATATATATATATATATATGTCTGTGTGTGTGTATGTGTACTTTTATAAATTATTTCAAAGTTAATATAAAAAATTAAAATTAAAATTATAAAAATTATAAAATAAAAAAAAAATATGAAAATAAAAAAATCAAATTAAATATTAAAATATTATTCAAATTATTAATTTTTATATTAATAAAAATATTAATGATATAAAAATAGACGTTAAATATAAATGTCGATATTTTATCAAACCATTACAGTCATTACTTAGAATAATGTCTGGGCATTGTATTATATTATGTATTTTAAAATACATTTCTTAAACAATACCGATTTAAATTCGAGACTCGCCACTCGAATATTGCTGCATATATATATATATATATATACACTCATATATGGGAGAATCCAATAGCTAATGAAAATTGGTGGAAACTTTCGTAATAAAAAAATAACTACATCAGCGTGCACCATGTTGCGAAATACCTACAAACTATAATAAATTTTTATAACATAATATTTAACGATCGATTGTTATTATGATATTAATTAAATTATATGAAACAATGAAGTAAAATATAAGTATATATAAGTAGCCATTATTAAATAAAAATTAAAATGTTTGGTAGTGAAAAAAGAAAAATAAAAAGAAAAAATAAATATGTATTTCTATATCAATCGAAATGAAAATTGACTGTTGTTTATTTAACTATATATATATATATATATATACATATATATGAATTAAAAATGACACTGTCAAATTCTAAAAATCCTTACGTTCTCTTTCTACCTCTCTCTCTCTCTCTCTCGCTCTCGAAGATGCTTATACGTCTAAATATTCTCCAGTAATGAAGGAACGGACGTTCGATTGTTTTTGTTTCGTTCATCGATCGAAAAATTTCCAGGAAATACGTCGTTCTATTATTATTTACATATCGATCGTTATTCCTTTCTCTTTCAAACATACATTATACCTCTGTCAAAAGAAACAGACTTACCTTATTTATACGACGTTAGTATCCTACAATGGCTTACAAAGCGCGGATGATACCTTCTCTCCATCTTATTCTCTCCTGTTCTTCTCCGATCCTTACTTGAATTCTTGGAAATCTGAAATAAAAAAAAAAATATAAGATGATATTAGCAGAGTATAAAACGAATCGTACGTGTATGTACGAGTGTATACAAGATACTAAATTATATCTAATACATATATGTATATGTATGTGTGTATGTACGTGTGTATGTGTCGTGTACGTACTAGTGTTAAGTATACGAAAATCATATAATACGAAATACGATATCAACGAGGACCAATTAATCATGAATTATTGATTAAACCATCGTTAAACTAGTGCGAGAAGTATCGATATTGCGATAATACATCGAGAAAATTCGTAGAGAATAAATACGTCATAATAGCGTCCAACGATAACGCCGTTTAAAGAGATGCCGATATTATTTTCGCGAATATCTCTTATACGCTAAGACGTCACTACTAGCGAATAATTCACACGTGAAAATCGGATCTTAGGCGATCGATAGGTGCATTGATCGATGTTATATGTAAAAAAAGACATGCTAATTACCTGTAATAAACGAGGACGATACGTATCCCGTGTCCAAGTAGCTAGTCGCCGAACTCAAAATGGCGGCACGTTACCGGCAAGACCGTATATATATCGCGACGCGCATGCGCGTACGTCACCTAGCGTTCGTCTCGTTACTGTACCCCAGACAAATTACAATTAGACAATAAATTCATTAACAAATTTATCGATCAGTATTATGAAATTAGATCATTTGTTTGTTTAATCTATTAATTAAATTATGTTCTCCATTACAGGCATTAACTTGTCGTCACATGTAAATGCATACTTATTTACTGTGCCATTAGTCAAAATAGATATAATTAATAAATCTTATAATATAAAAAAAATATATATATATATATATATTTATTAAGCTCTATTTGTTAAACATCCTGCAAATAAATATATTGTTATGTATACTGTAAATAAATTAATTTTATTTTTAATTCGTTTAATTGTTTATTAATTTTTCTTATTAACCCTAATGATAATTATGAAATTAAATACATTATCATTATTATGAATCAGGTGGTTGTCGACAATCAATGGAAATTTTTAATAATTATATAGACTTGGTTCTTATAAATTATTGTTATTTAATTATTAATATAATTAAAGAATGCTAAACTCCTGCATGCATATTAAATACTACAATAAATAATACAATTTATATACTAATGAAAAATATATATATATATCAATAATTAATTAATCAAGTTTTATATGAGAACATAGTCTATTGAAAAGATTAAATGTCATATTATATATGTTAAAAATAATGTTTAACATTTGAAATTCAATTAATATTTCTTTAAGATGAATTTATTTTATTATTGACACAGGTTATTATTAAATATGTCCAATAAAAATTGAGTAAACTACAAGAATATTATTAATATAGAATAAAATCAAGTGTGCTTATGTACATAAACATATATATATATATGAATATGAATGTGATTTGCATATTCAACAAATACTATATATATATATATATATATATATATATATATATATATATATATATATATTGAAATCTGATATGATATAAAATAACATTAATAAACGATAAATGATTAAATCAAGCTTATTAATGTGTAATATATAAGTTCAAGAATGGATGATCATATCAGTACTTTTTATTTTATTTTTTTTTTTTCTTATTGTATCAATGTGAATGAAAACCAATAATCAATTAATTTATTCATTCCGCAATTGCATTTAAATTCTGATTAAAATTCAAGTTCAAGAAAGTAATTGCTAATCAATTTATAATGCATACTATCATTTTTATATACCATGATTCTTTATATATATTTATATATAAATATAAATAATAAATAGATTCTTGTGACATATAAATTAAATGATGAAACTATAAAGATATTTAAAATATTTATTAATAAGAATTTAGATATAGAATAATAGAAATTATATCTGAATTGGGAAAATTATTTTTAGAGCTATTTAAAAGATAAAAAACTCTTTAGTTCTATTTCTTTAATAACTTCACCTGTAGAAATAATTTATCAATATAAAATGTTATTTTTAAATAAGATAATCACAGTAATATAAATAATATATATGATTTTACAAAAACATTCGGTTCTTTGGAAAATAAATAATTTTATCATTAATTATTAACTTTAAACTTATACTTGTCACCGTTAATAATATTTCAAGGATAATTAATTGAAATATATGATTAATTAAGAAAAAGTAATGTTTCTATAATTAATCAATTTTTACAACGATCAAACAATATTTCCTCTAAGAAAATATTCTTATTATCAGTTCTCATTATATATTAACATTTTTTATATTATAATAACTTCTCATATTAACTTTTTTAATTATTTATTTTATTTTTATTGTTTAAATATATACATTTTTTATTCTATTGTTTTTCTAACAAAGATCTATTCGACTAGCCCTTTAATATATGATCAATCTCTGTAATCAATTAAATAACATTGATATTCAAACTATGGACTCCCAAAGATGTTGCATGCTAACGAAGATGTTTTTATAACAAATAATGTGTATACCCGTGTGTATAATACAAAAAAATATTATCACGTTGTTACAGAAAATGTAGTCGGAACGTGTAAGTATATGAAAACAATATAAGACGAAGGGTAAAATCCGTTGTATCGGAGAACATGGCTATCACCGAAATACCATTTTAGCTATGAGAACAAGAAAAAGGTGATGGGTTAAGGGGTAAGATTGTGAGAATGAGTATGTGAGGGAAGAAGTAAGAGGGTAGGTTGCGAAAAGGATAGAATATTATCGTCGAGACTACACGGTACATAAATATAGCAGAATGTGTGTGGGTGAGCTCAGATCACTCGGAGACTTGTAAAATCGAGGGGTGGGTAGAAGGCTGGGGGATGTATGGCGGAACTAGCAACGGGCAAGCACTATGACCTCTCTATTTATCTCTTCCTCTCTCTCTCTCTCTCTCACGCCTCCTCCCTTCACCAACACACAAACCACCTGCCTCTCCCCCCACTACCTCTTATTCCACTACCTTATGGTAATCGCCATAGCTATTTGCGTCCTAATATCCCGCGTGAACGCTCCTCGTAAAACTCTTTTCGTCGGCTTTTCTAAGGGCGCCGCTTGCATTTAAAATCGCGTTTTATGGAAAGCTGCTTTTACTACAAGCAATGAAAGATAAGAGTGGGAGGCATTGTATATATATATATATATTATATATATATGTATATGTATATATATATATAAAATAAAATATTGTATATGTATATGTATATGTATATGTATATATATAATAAAGCAAAATATTGACACACAAAAGTATTCATAAATATTTAGCGATCAATTAAACGGAACCTAACCTCAAATAATTAATTTCGAATATTATTTATAGGAAAATAATTTCGATAGCTTATGTGATTTGTTAATTATTTAACCGATGTATAAAATTATATAGTATATATTCGTATACTAGAACAATGTGTTTGTATATGCGTGTATGTATATATGTAAGTATATATAAATTCTGACTGAACCTATATACGTATAAAAATATACTCATATACTTAAATCTTTAAATTATCGTCTAGTTATTAAATATTAAACGTTTATAACCGTGGTTACGATATTAAAATGGAAATAAAGGGAAAAAACGAGAAAAAATATATAATAAATAATATATAAATAATTAAGAAACTATAATAAATTATTCTAAAAAAAAAAAAAAGAAAAAATGATAGAATAGCATTAAATGTTATTAAAAAATAATTCGTGAATACGAAAGAATTAAGTCGTGTCTGAACGAAGGGAAATAATATTGTCCACTCGTTGCATTTCAGTACTCTCATTTCTTTTTTGTCGAAAGAAGACAATAAATTATCTCCTAACCTGCGCATTCAAACAAGAAAGTTCAACTTTTCTAAGAATGTACTTAGGTAAGTTGTGTGAAGGCGTATTTGTATGTATATATATACGTATGTATGTATGTATATATATATGGTATATATATATGTATGTATATACACCAAATATACGAAAATTATGCGCCTCGCGTCAGATTTATATATATAAAGTTTTAGTAAATGCTTTTTTTCCGTCGCAGAGCTCGATTTCATTCCTGTGCATATGTATAGTGTTGTGCGTAGAAATGAGATAGAGAGGGAGAGAGAGAGAGAGAAAAAGAGTTTTTTTTCATCATTTACCTTGGCATTGAGAAGAGGAATTTTACCCAACATATTATATAGGTCAGTGGACGAATTTATATAGGTTAGTGGAGCGATTCACAAATGTGGGTCAAAGTCTTGGTCTCTTCTCACTAGTATTCCAAGCAATAACTTGTAATAATAACTTTCAACACGAGTTATACGTGACTTCGGGCTTTCTTCCTTCCTTCCTTGTTCCTCTCAAAACTGTCCGGACATATTTGACATTATCGACAACTACCGAAGTCATAATAATAATATATTTAATTTCATAATTGTCATTACGTTTAACAACAAAAATCGATAGAATTAAAAACAAAGGATTAATTTATTGTTTCAAAATATTTAGATATGTAGAACAATTAGAGCTTAATATATATATGTATGTATATTATTTATATTATAGACTTCATTAATTATATATGTTTTGACTAATGACGTACAGAATAAATAAGTACGTAGTGACGTGTAATGATAAGCTGGTACCTGTAATGGAAAATATATTTTAATTAATATGTTAAAAAAACAGTTAATCAATTTTTTCATGATACCAATCGATAAACTTGTTAATGAATTTTTTGTCTATTTCTAATTTAATATTCTATGTAATCGTACGTAAACATAACGTTATGTTATGTACATGGAAAAATTCATTTGTTTGTCTATGGTACAGTGACGAGACGAACGTAAGGTGACGTAACGCGCATGCGCGCCGCGATATATATACGGTCTTGCCGGTAACGTGCCGCCATTTTGAGTTCGGTGACTAGCTACTTGGACACGGGATCGGTATCGTCCTCGTTTATTGCAGGTAATTAGCATGTTTTTTCTTACATATAGCATCGATCAATGCACCTATCGATCGCCTAAGGTCCAATTTTCACGTGTGAATTATTCGCGAGTAGTAACGTCTTAGCGTATAAGAGATATTCACGAAAATAATATTGGCATCTCTTTGAACGGCGTTATCGTTGGACGCTATTACGACGTATTTATTCTCTACGAATTTTCTCGACGTATTATCGGAACATCGATACTTCTCGCACTAGTTTAACGACATTTTAATCAATAATTCATGATTAATTGGTCCTCGTTGATATCGTATTTCGTATTATATGATTTTCGTATACTTACACACTAGCACGTACACGACACACACACACACGTACATACACATATACGTATATACATCATATATGTACATATACATATACATATATGATTAGAAATAATTTAGTATCGTGTATGCACTCGTCATACACGCACGATTCGTTTTATACTCTGCTAATATCATCTTACATTTTTTTTTTATTTCAGATTTCCAAGAATTCAAGTAAGGATCGGAGAAGAACAGGAGAGAATAAGATGGAGAGAAGGTATCATCCGCGCTTTGTAAGCCATTGTAGGATATTAACGTCGTATAAATAAGGTAAGTCTGTTTCTTTTGACAGAGGTATAATGTATATTTGAAAGAGATAGGAATAAGTAACGATCGATATATAAATAATAATAGAACGACGAATTTCCTGGAAATTTTTCGATCGATGAACGAAACAAAAACAATCGAACGTCCGTCCGTCCTTCATTACTGGAGAATATTTAGACGTATAAGTATCTTCGAGAGCGAGAGAGAGTGAGAGAAAGATAGGTAGAAAGAGGAACGTTAGGAACGTTAGAGGATTTTTAGAATTTAACAGTGTCATTTTTAATTCGTACGAATATTACGTCGATCGGAGCTGGATGAAAGTTTTTAGATGAGACAAAAAAAAAAAAAAAAGAAAAAGGAGATAAAAGAAAAAAAATTTCGTGTTCGTATTCTTGCAATGTGAAATGAAAAATAATTAAATAATCATGATTTTTAAATGTCACTCATTGAGCTTTCTATTCGTTCTGTTAAATACATTTGTATATAATATTTAGACGTACATTACGTATAATCTTATTCGATATTAATAATGTTCTTTCATTTGTTAGATTTATATATTATAATTATACAGTAGTTATATTCAAATGTACAATTATAATTTATGGCCTATAACGCGAACGCAGAGTACAATGGAGATCGTATTATGTTATTCTCTTTCTTCTCTTCATACGTGTGTAATAGATATGTACAAGTGAATGTAAATATATGTTGGAAAGTTCAAAGTAAATTATAACATGAAATTTTAACGTTTAGGTTAAGTGTGCCAACGAACTATCTCTCTCTCTCTCGCTCCACCCCTTCTTTCTCTCTCTCTCTCTCTCTCTCTCTCTCTCTCTCTCTCTCTCTCTCTCTCTCTTTCTCTCTCTCTCTCTTTCTCTTTCTCTTTGTCTCTCTTTCTTTCTACTGTACTGCACTGTACTATTTCGTTTGTCCTGTTCCAGGAAATTCGTTTTCACGAGAGAATGTAAACAGAATACAGTCGGGCATTTGGCTTTACAGTTGAGAGACTGGGGGTTAAACCTCCTCAGAGTAATACGATATCTGGAGGCGACATAGCCACGAATTTTCACGAATAACATATATATATATATATATATAGGGTGTCCAAAAAGGCATAGGATGAAACTTATATTACGTATTAACAAGATCAAATAGATGAAAAATGTTTATATATAATGTTATGTCTGAAAATGTTTTATCAAAAAGATATACGATTTTAAAGATATTTCTGATTTATTGTCGACAGTTATAAGAAATGTTTGAAAATTTCTCTTTCTTACAAGTATACAGGTATTATTCATTCATGGAATTAATAATTGCTCGCAATCAAATATTCAAATATTCCAATTGTATTGGAAATAATAAATAAATGTATTTTCGAATACATTTAACTAAAAGTTTATTCTCTTCTTTCTATCGTATATTTATAAATCTTATATTTTTTCACGTGTATCCCAAAAATCAAAGTTTAAGTCAGGTGATTTAAGAGGCCGATTGTTAGGGTCAATCATTAATTCGACGAGTGGAAATAAAATGTATATATTTTTAAAAGTATATAACTTTTATATGAACTTTTTCCATCCATTTAATCTCAGTAATACGTAGTATAAAGTTTGCTTCCATACTTTTTGGACACTCTGTATATATATTAATATATACATGAGTTAGTGATATTATTTTCTTCGCTTGACCATTCTAATAAAAATTTATCTCTATTTTACTATATCATATACAATTAATTACCACGTCGTAATTGTTGTTAATATAATAAATCATAATTATTATTTTGTTGAAATAATATATATATATATACATATATATATATATATATATATATGTATGTGTATATTTATTATAAAATAAATGAATTATATATAAGTATTATTAATATTTTTCAGAAAATATTTTACGCAGTCTCATTTTTCTATCTTAAATTTATTTTCTCTTGTCTTGCATAATGTCTTCATAATGATCAGTGCTGTCATTTTTATATATACACGTATATTCATTTTTATATTTAATGCTAAACTTAAACCGATTCTCTACATTTTGTTAAAGCTATATATATATATATATATATATATATATATATATGTATTGAATATATATTTTGTATGAACTATAATTTATATGAATATTAAATATTATAAAATATAATTTATCTGATAAGTAATTTAATAATAGAATCGAATTAGAATCACTTATGTTTTAATTATTATTATCTATATCATTTATCTATCCTATTAGAATTATTAATATTATTTGCAATCATAATCTTATTAATTTAATTCTAATAGAATCTTATTAATTAAAATTATATTAAAGTTGAACATTCCAACGAAATATTGAATCGTAGGAATAGTTTTAATTTGATCAAAGTAAATATATATCCATGTATTCGTATGTCCGTATTTTTTTTCGCGAAATAATTTATTTATTTATTTACTTATTTATTTATTTATTTACTTATTTATTTATTTATCTATTTCTTTTTACATTTTTTTTTTCTTTTTTTTTTCTTTTTTTCTTTTTTTCTTTTTTTTTTTTTTTTAGATATTACTACAACAACGATTTATTCTGTTTTCGTTTTTTATTCGTTATTGTTTTTATTGTTTTGTTTTCGTTCATTTTCTTTTATTTTATTTTATTTTATTTTTGTTTTTTGTTTTGTTTTGTTTTTCAGATCACAGATCGCATTCGTGCGTGAATCGCAATCGTGCATTGTTTCGAAAAAAAAAAAAAAAAGAAAAAAAAAAGAAAAAAAAAGAAAAAAAAAGAAAAAAGAAAAAAAGAAAAAAAAAGTAAAAGAAAAATCGTGAAGTAGAGTCGGTGTTTGTTCGTTAATTTCACTTTGTCCGCCGTGTCGCGATTTAAATTGATTTTTAGAAGTATGTGGGCTTGTATTGACTGCACGTAAAGCGGTCATAGAGTCACAATGTTCTTTCTCTCTCCCTCTCTCTTACTCTCTCTCTCTCGTATAAAGTTTTCTCTCTTCTTTTTTTTTTCTTTTTCTTTTTTTTTTTTTTTTTTTTTTATTTATTTATTTTTGTTTTCTTTTTTATTTTTATTCGCTTCACTGTCAGAGAGACCGTACATGTACATGTACATATATGTGTGTATGCGTACGCGCGCGCGCGCGTGTGTGTGTGTGTGTGTGTGTGTGTATGTGTGTGTGCGCCGTGCGTGCATGCGTGTACATATGTATATATACGTAATAATAATGATTTCGGAATTAAATTCAGTATCGTCTCGTTAATTAATAAATAATTATCGCTTGTTTAAAATGTCAGAGTGCATCCATTGAAGATGTAACATCAATATATATATATATATATATATATATATATATATATATATATATGTATATATATATATATATAGGAACGAAATTTCAACGAATACGCTTGATATCCCTCTAACTACTTCACATATTTCAACTGATACGAATCACAACTGTCTCCCTCAATTTCGCTCCCCCCCCCCCCCCCGCAAAACGTGGACGAGTATGTTTTAATGTTGTCAGAGTCATTCTAAATTATTAAGTGAACAAATTTAATTTAACTCCTTTAGGATCGTGCTCGATCATTATTTTACGATGAAAGTTTCGAGGATCGAAGAATTCATACGCTTGTAAATTTTCTTCTTCTTTTTTACTTATTTCTTTATTTATTTTATTTTTGTTCTAAATAAATTTTCAGAGGATGAATGACTCTTTTTTCTTTTTTTTCTTTTTTTTGTTTTTTTTTTTTTGGATTTATGAATAAAGTACATTTTTAACTGTACTGCATACGTGTATACATTTTTCATTATCTCTATTGTGTATTTGTTTATATTAACACGGGATATAGAATCTTCTTGTTTTAATTAATTAATAAAGTATTAATAATAATAATCATAATAATAATAATGATAACTGTAATAAAAATAACAATAATTAAAAATATCTAATTACGAACATTTTATATTCGTTTCGTTTCGTCTCGTTTCATCTCGTCTCGTTTCGTCTAGTTTCTCATAACTTTAATTTAAAAGTCGGAAGTTTTATCATTTTACTTCGTCGAAAGTGTATGCAAAATATAACATATTTTTCACCGTAGTTTTACATATATAAAAAAAAATTATCTCTTTCAGAGAGAAAAAAACAAAATTTTATTTTCATCTACATATAGAATATGGAATACATTGAATATATATATATATATATATATAATCTAATAATGCTTAAGATGATTCGTCGTGATGGATAGATCTTCGATTATAAGTGACACACAATATGATTTTAATAATTAATTAGAATGGTCCTTTGTAAAAATGGATCGACTGAGGGTTTTTTTTCATATTAAATATAAAACCTTAATTCCCATATTTTACAGATTAATTTTACTCTTTTTTTTTTCTTTTTTTTTTCCTCCAAGATAAATTAGTACTGTCATTTTGAAGCTTTTATATGTACATGAACATATATATATATAGTGTTGAAATTTTAATCCAAAATTTCAAACTATAGCTCATCAAAATTATTATTATAATAAAAATTATTTAATTACAATTAAATTATGATGTAGTTATAATTAATTACAATTATATACAATAAATGTGATATAATGGTGAATAAATTAACTATAACGCATCTGAAGTCAAATTCAATTGTAATTTAATTCTGATTAGTATAGCAAAATGCATTATCGAATTAAATTTATTGTTATTCAATTAAAAAAAAAAAAAAAAAAAAAAATACAAGTATATATATATATATATTTATATGGAATTTTTAAACAATAAATTTACATTCGTAATTATTTTTATTTCGTAATTTAAAAAAGAAAAGAAAAGGAAAGGAAAAAAGAAAAGAAAATATAAAATAAAACAAAAAAGGAATAAGGAGAAAAGAAAATGAAAAAAAAATCTTATTTCATTGGAAAAACTCGAATAGCACAAATGGTCAAATTTGTTTTGCAAAGGGTCCAAAATTTTATTTGCAAAGAGAGTAGAATCGGTGGTGTGTTGGTGGTTTAATGCGATTTGTAAAAGAGCGAAATTGATTTGTCGTAAAGTTTGATTTTGTAGTGCAAAATCTGTTATTTTTTCTTCCTTTTTTTTCTTTTTTTTTTTTTTTTGTCATTCAATTTATCATCGATTCGGTTAAAATGGATAGATGAACGTGGGATAATTGTATACGTCGTTATTGTCATCGTCATCGTCGTCGTCGTCATCGACAAAATTTTGAGAAACAAGGAGTTGAATTTCTCTCACCAAGTGATTCAATATTTGTATTGCCCAGACGAAGAGCATATTATCGCGTATCAATCAAGAAGAGTCAATGTTTGCGTGGAAAACGTCGTTGATGGTACTGCTCGAAGAAAATATTGACGCGTACGAACGTATCCTATGCGTACCTATTTTCTAAGATATCTTCATCGCCATCTCTCTCTCTCTCTCTCTCTCTCTCTCTCTCTCTCTCTCTCTCTCTCTCTCTCTCTCTCTCTCTCTCTCTCTCACTTTATGAGAAAATTTCTATCTGACGAGAGAAATTCTCCTGATCTCTATCCTCATCTTATACCTTTACACCGTCAATCATCAACGAATAGAAGGAGGAGCTACGAGAATCTTCGATCTCATTCCAAATACACACACACACACACACGCACACACATACACACACACACACATATATACATACATATATATATATATACATACATATATATATATATATAAATGTATATTATACATAAACATCGATCGTTTCCTCAGATAGAATTTTGGATTTGAATGCTGTCTGAGGTATATTATTGCATGCTTCTCTACGAGTGAGAGAAAGACATTTTCATCCTTCTTTCTCTCTCTCTCTTTCTCTCTCTTTCTTTCTCTCTCTCTCTCTCTCTCTCTCTCTCTCTCTCTCTCTCTTTCTCTCTGTTTCTGTCTCTCTTTCTTTCTTTCTTTCTTTCTTTTTCTTTCTTTCTCTTTTACTCTTTCTTTCTTTGTCGTTCGGTATTAGTTCTAATTTTTAATTGATCTGATTTTAATCCTGATTAATAATTTTTTTAACTCTAATTTTTATAACTCACTTACGTTCATCTTTATAAAAAATATTGTATATAATTTGAAGGATATATTCTTTGTAAATAATTGTTACTATACATTACTCCATCTTATACTTTTTTTTATACAATATGTATATATATATATATATATATTTTTTTTTTTTTTTATATTGCATTTATATAATTATTAAGCGACGCATATATATATAATTATAAGTGATCGACCAAACTTTTATGATTAGTTATTATGCAGGTTTTAAAGTTAAATAAGGATATAGTATGAAAAAAAAAAGAGAGAGAGAGAGAGGGTCGACATGTTGTTTATGGAATTTTTTTGGACTTTTTATTTACCTTTTATTTTTCTTTTGTTTTTTTATTTCTTTTTTTTTTTTTTTTTTTCTTTTTTTTTAAATATTTTTTAGTCTCTTATTTGATTTTGTCAAATTCAGAAGTATCAATTTTTTTTTCCACATTTTTTTTTTTTTTTTTTTTTTTTTTTTTTTTTTTTTTTTCATATAGAGAGAGAATAAAAATATGAAAGAGAGAAAAACAAAAAGTTTCATTAAATG